GCAATGCAGTTCAAATCCAAGAATGAAGTTGTAGCAATACACAAGAAGAATCCAAAGGAGTAGTCATAGACAGTCAAGCAGGGTCCAAACCTAATTATAAAAGAAGAATGTAACAAGCATAGTGGTGATCTAAGAAGACACTTGAGGCAAAGCTCATGTCAGGAATTCAAAGAGAAGCTCAAGGTATGGAAGAGGGAAACTAGGGAGGCTCCAAGTAAACTCTATAACAGAGCTAACAGCATTGTCAGGGCAGACTTTAAGAAGTCTGATCCACCAGAGATGGGGAGTGTTTGAAAATAGCCCACAGGTGGAACAGGCTTCCTGTCTGATTTTGTAACCATGGCAACTGACTCTGATTTACAGGTGAATAGAGGTGCAACCACCTGCCATGGCAAAGCAAGCTTGCTCTGCACCACACCAGTGGGGGCAGGCATGACAGAATAAACATGACAATATGAATAGGGGGTCAGGTATTAGTGTTGGAATAAATGTTTCCTGAACTTTGAGGAATCAACACTCTTAAAATTGTGGAAAATATAAAAAAGAATTCCAGATTCTGTTAGAATCATTCATCCTGCCCATAAAGATGCAGTGAGTCTTTCAAGAGACGCATGTGCAGCTGTTAGGTTAAACCATTGGTATAGCATGTGTTTCCAATTCAGTAAGATCACCTTTTTTGCTATTGTGAGAAAATTAAAACTGGAGATGGTTAACATGACACTTGAGCACTTAGACTGAGTGCCGGAAATGTCACAGTGAGTGACATTAACTCACTCGAGAAGCCTGCTGTAGAACTTAAAAGAGTTTTGTGGAGAGGAGAAGTCCCTGCTGGCTGGAGCCACAGGGTATCAAGTGCAGGGGCGAGTGGGCGTGAGTCACAGCCCCCAGCCCAGCCTGGGTGCAAGAGGCCAGCTTTCACACCTGCGCTGTATCTTTCAGCCCTTCGCAGGAATGTCAGCTTCAGAAAAAAAAACACACAGACTGCTGTTCCTGAAGCTGAACACAACTGCACTTAGACTGCAAAGCACTATTCTGTCTATGTGATAACTGGAGATTATGTCAGCATGAGAGAGACAGAATCTGTCAGGTTACTCCTTACCAACTACTGCAGATAAAATCAACCTATGACTCCATCAGTGCCTGATGACACATATACATCCCTCCTTGTGCAACACCCAGAGCAGATGTCTCTGTGCACTGGTTGCAGGCAGGCAGGCTGTCAAGCTTCTCCCTGTCCGAAAGTAGAGTTGGGCCAGAGATCTGCACTTTTCTCCACAGGTCACTGTCTCACAGCGCTCACTCCACTCCAATGATACTCTCTCTTCCTCTCACTTCAGTCCATTGACTGTCCCCATTCTAACCCTTGACATTGTCTTACTCCCCTTCACTGGTGTAAAGACACTGCCGTCTTGGTCTGTCTCCCACAGCAACTTTCACCATCTCTTCCCTTTCTCCAGGGAGACAATCTGGAGCCACAGAGTGGTCTTCTTGCAGGAGCGCATCCTCTGCCAGTGGGATTCTTTCACTATCTGGAATGCTGGGAAACAGGGGCGCAAGCTGTACCGCAGCCTGTCCCCAGCTAATCAGAGCAAGGTGAGGGGGTGTCAAGCAGGCTGGAAGGGAATCCTCTTAAAGAGGATGCTGTTCAATCGGGCTTCATTCTCTTAGAATAAGGAAATAAGGACCTGGAAACAGCCATAGCTTGGGATTTAATTGTTTGTTTGGCAGAGGAATTGTTGTGGAGAAGTTTGTGATACTTACAGTGACAAAAAGGAGCTCCTTCTGTGTCTGGGTCTGTGTGGGCTTGATGAATGGAGCACTGAAGGGGGAGCTATGATTGGCTGCAATAAACACTTCAAATGATCCCCCACAGACATCTGTGCTGTTTATTCTACCAATCATTCGGAAAACCAGAGGGTGCTCAAAGAACAATATTTATTGTGGCAAGCAGCTGTTTAAATAAAAAAAAATCATTGAAAAAATATTTTTTCTTAAAGTTCTTGGTCCATGGCAACTAACTTTGAAATACTTCCATATTGAAATCTTATACATGTGGTGACAAACAAATGATGGACTATCTATCCTTTCATCTCGTCCTGAGTCTCAGAGCTGAGGGGAGCGCAGACACAGTGCCTGAGGGCTGTGGCTAAAATTAAGATGGATGAAAGGTGGAGAGAAAAGCACAACCTTGCAAAACAGATTTTAACAACTGAAAGCATTACTCAATACTGGTGTAATACTGAAAGTATTACCTCAATACTGACACATACAGCCTCCCATCTGCAAAGTGTTCTTTCAACTAAACATTCACCTGAACATTAACTTTGTAACAATAACTTCACATACAATCTAAAGTGAAAACACGTCTCTCTTTCAAGTTGGTTTTAAATAATAGTCCAGCAGTCCAGCATTCCTCTGGAATGTATTGCAACAAGAGGCTTTGAGTTTCAGAATCATCTTCAATATTCATATGTTGAGTATTATGTTTTTAAATTTGCTTTTCAGGTCATTGCCTTCTGTGATGTTGATGAAAGTAAAATAAAGAAGGGCTATTACACCTATGAGGATTCGAAGGTGGGTCTTGTTTCTGTGTATCAGTAATGTTCTTTTGATCAGAGCTCCTCAGCACTAATACCCTGAAGTGTTATGGCTAACCTTTGATTTTACATTAAATCCATAGTTGCTGATCTGAAACTTATAGGTCTGATATCAGCTGTGTATAATTGATATCACTGAAACATTTATAATACATTTTAAAATCTCTAAAATCACACCTCCTTACAAATTCTTTGTGATTTATTAAATTGTCAAAAATTTGAATTTTCTGAAACTTAGAAAAAGATTCTGTGATATCAAGAAGGTGAAGGTTGATAAAAATGAAACTTCTGATTTTAGAAATAATATAAAAAAACACTTAGAATCACTATATCACATTATTTTTTATATATACACCTGGTTTGGAATCACGAATCGTTTGTTTTTCACGTCTCCAAACTCCAGAACCGCACACAGGGGAGAGTGAGGAAGTGTGGGCAGACTCCTCCTACCACTCTCCTTTGAGCCAATCGGCTTTTAACACATCACCGACAGCACCACCCCCGAACCAGAGGTTTCGTGCTGATTGAAGGAGAAGCATGTACTGTACCTCTCCAAGGGCATCGTGTGCCTGCAAGTTCTGTCACTGCTACAAAAAGTCCAGTTTTTGATATCTGGTATAACGTTTTTGGCATCAACAATTTAATTTGTAATTGTATTTCTTATATAAAAAATGTAATCCCTCATATTTGAAATTAAATCTGGATTTAATGTCTTGCCATACAATGTATACAATGAGTAATGAGTCCCTTAGTTCTAGAAACTTATATTTCAATGTGTGTAGACAGAGCTGCTTTCAGTTACAGTACTTGTAGCTCTCGTAGAAGGAGATTGTGAATAGTGCTGAGCTTTTCTGTCACTGATCGTACAAGAAGTCCCATGAAGCTACAGCAACTGCTAGGAATGCACAAAGGAAAACCCAAGATTTATTTAGACACACTTAGATTGAGAGAGTACTATTGAGTTTAATTTCATTAGACCAGCCAGTAGAGCTTCTAATAATATCATAGTTGCATCCCGAGATTTGTTACGCAAACACTCTCTCCAATGTGGTTGGGCTGCTGGCCAAAATAGAAGTTCATTATTTTTCCACTCTTTGGTAATTGTGGCTACTCTGGTTCTACTTGTGTATCCATCAGGGCATATCACTAGAGGTGCAGGATTTCGTCATGTGACCTATAGAGATAACTCTTTGTTAATTCAGGTACAACATAAGCACAGCTGACAGCTGACAGTGCGCACTCTACTCTCTTATCTAGGAGAGGCCCAAGCCCAGAATTCCAGTCAAGCACTTCAGAGATGCCTCTCCCCCGTTCATCATCTGCGTGAAGCTGGTGAGTGGAGTGTGAACGCTGTGTCAACGCCCAGCCGGGGGGCACAGAGCTTGGAGTGGGGAGGGGAGAGAGAGGCTGCAGAGACGGTCACCATCTTCTCCACTCTCAGGTCACACCTCTCTGCCCCCCGCCTGCTCTCAGCCCGTCTGTATGAGCTCAGCACAGCCCAGACCTGCACAGCTTCGATTGTTTCTTCCACGGAATCTCACCACGGGGATGGTGGCACTGGGCCCATGTAATTTATTCACTCTGGAGTGGGCAGTCAGCATTTTGCCCGCATTTCATCTGCAGCATTCCTTAGGTTTTTTAAACATTTTTTTTAAATATATTTTTATGCTTGAATTTGGGATTGCTTGTCCTACTTTTCTAAATGCAGATCATCCCTATCTGTGATGTAAACAGTCTAATTCCTGTTCTAGAATTCAATATTCACAAGGTTAATAACACAAGCTCTCAGTAAAAACAAACTGTGTGTGTGTGATCCTTTGGAAGTAGAGAGCGACTCCCTGGTTCTGTGGTCAGTCTCGGCGCAGTTTCAGTGCAGAAACCGTGATTGCAGCCCAGACCACGATGGGAAGTGATGCGAAACCAGGTCAGACCTGCAGAGGAAACTGAGCCACACGGCTGGTCTGTGGTGAGGGCCTGTGAGGCAGCTGCTGAGCCAGAGCTGTTCTCCTGACTACTATTTTTATCGGCAGCTTAACCCACCCTGCGCAAAGACCACATCACAGGCCAGCCAGCAGACAGGGCACTAATTGCTACTAATTGCATAATTACACTTCCTCGTGTTTGGCATTGAATAGCTCTTGCACAGAGCAGAGGAATGCTAGGCAGGAAATCAACATGGAGACTACATGCCTTCTGTGCTCTCTGTGGGTGAGGCCAGGGTGGCTGTGCAGGATTGTGTAGGTAATTGTCTTGGTCTCTGCATCTTAAAGTCCACTTTATAGTGCTTACAACTAACAACCTTCAAGTAACAGACTTCTCAAAATATTGTAAACACTGCAGCATCTCGTCAGGTAAAACATGTATTGCAGTTATTTTCATTGTTCGTTGAAGTATTGTTGTTCTAGATATATTACTGGTGGTAGCAGGAGAGTTGTATTATTTTTATAATTACAGTAATTAGTAGCAGTGCATTAGTAGTACAGTAGTTGAGGTTAGTAGTATTAATAGATGTCTTTGATCAGTATTAGTTCTAGAACTGCACTGTCAGTGTGAGCCGAGGTGCTTCTAGCTGTCTGAGAGCTGATGGGATGCAGGTCTCCACAGAGCTGGATTACTCCACTGGAATGTCAGTGGGCAGAAGGAAGAGCTTCTCCAGAGCACAGAGCTGGGAGAGGCTGGCTGGGTCTGCCCTGCATCACTGACACCCTCATTTCTCTTGTGCCTCAATACCCAGTTACCTCCAGGAAATGTACAGTATAAAGAAAACCTACAGTGTGAAGAAGCTGCTGTCCGCACTGAAGCACTCTTCCAGGTTGAACAGCAATTATAACCTTATAGAGAGCTAATACAGGCAAAACACATCACCTGTAACCTAGTGTAGCAGCAGACAAACCCAGCTGGAGATGTTATACTCATACAGGGCATGACGCAGACGTTCATGCAGACAGATGATGTTTGCATTGTTTTTGTCTGTTTTAATAAGGAAAAACTGGGCAATGCCTCTGCTTTGGTGTGTGGGGGGGTGATTTTTCCAATAGGACTCTGGAAGCTCTGGAAGTGCTGCGCTGTGTCCGGCATTAGTGAAAATGTGAAAATGAGATTCCTCAGAAAGCCCAGGGCGGAAGGAAGCTACTCATCCTGAAAGAAGAAGTGTGTTTGTGGGGTGCGGTTTAGTGTACCATTAGACATGGGTGTTGTCATTTCACTTTTTTTTCCTTTTAATATATTATCGGCAATTATTTTTCCTCTTTTATGACAATTGAGAGGGCTCAGCATTGAAAGACGGCTCTCTGAAGCCACACTAGTGAAGTGTGGCAGGGAGGAGACATGCCTCCTCCCAGAGAGAGACCACTCTTCAGGTGCAGGCGAGAGGAAGCCCCAGGACCAAACCGCCTCGTCTGGTTGCTAGTATTTCATGGATTCAAGGCCAGAGGTTCTCCTTGTCCCAGTCCTAACAGAGTCCAGGCTGTCGGCTTGGACAGCCTGGCTGGGTGTGGTGTTCCACACTCCCACAAGCCCCCTGTTCTCGGGTGTAAACGTGCTTTTGTCCTTTGCTTTGGGTTCTGCTGTCAGTACTGAAGACGTTAATTGGGTTGACTAGTCTAGTTCTCATTATTAATTATATAACCTTACATTATATAATTATAGAGGTAGGGCTAATTGGTTTGTAATTACTAGGTTTGGTTTTATCACCTTTCTACATTATCAAAGTCCGTGATTTTTGCCCTGGCTGACTGTTGAAAGAGTGTCACTAGTGGCCTAGGAATAACATATCATGTCCACCTTTTGAACCCCTGCTCTGACTGTACTTGCTTCGTGTCCGTGTCTCCGTGTACTCTGGGTATGGGCACCGCATGGCTTTCTTCTGTGCTGCAGGACCAGTGCTTGGCTTTGAGAATAGTCAGCCTAGCAGGTGCCTGGCCAGCAGCAGGTAATCCTGATACTAATGACTGGCTTCAGCCAGCCAGGCAGGCAGCATCCATAACTGACCCATTACCACTCACATCGCTAATGGCCGAGGCTGGACTCATCCAGCACGTTGCTGAGGAAGCCAGTCAGCAGACTTTCCCTTTTCCCTTGTTTTTTATATGAGCCAGTGAGCTCACCCCCTGCAGAGATAAATACTCTGTTATGATGTATGACCCTGCATTCCTCCTTCGAGTTTATATCTACCAGATCGGCCAGAGATTGATGGGCTCCATAAACTTTGGAAAGGTAACAAACAGCTTGAAGGTATTAAGTTGTAATATTCCACGGACATCTGAGAACTATTGAGCTTAACCCACAGTCAGCTGAAGAGGGGCTGAATTACACTGTCAGCATTCTTTCTCTGATGGACTGTCATGCTTTTTTACCAAGATGTTTTGTCTTTGAGAGGTTGTGTGAGTCTATGAAGAGAAAAATAAAAGGCCAACAGTCAAGGCTTTGACTGCAGATAGTCTTCTCTAAATTCATACAGTACCTGTATATATATTGCACAAAAAACATTCAGTTTAAATTTAAAAATGGCATGAAACTAACACTTCATCCTTAATCTGCATCAGGTCTCACAGATCCCTCACATCCACATGTGATCAACAGTCCAGTTCTTGTGATTCCTTCGCCTGTGATAAATGTGTACCACACTTTAACAGCCAAAGTAGGGCTCTCAAATAACTCGATGAATGTTTGCACAGAACCCAAATATAATACCTAGCAAGTGTGTAAGATTCTAAAAAGGTTGGTGCAGAGACCAAGTCACCATCAGTAGGACACCACAGGAAGTAGGGGTGAATTAAATGAAAGTAACTGCCTAATCACTTCACGAACAGCTAACTGACTGGGTGCCCTGGACAAAGCTTGTTCCTCCCTGTTGTGTAAAACATTACTGGCTTCACGCAGTGGTGTCATAAAAATGTGACACCCTGACACCCTGGGTCTCACACTCAGGGCTCCGATATCTGTGTTGTGCTCAGCTCTGTGAAGGGCAGGAGGCTCTACAGAGCGGAGGGGACTTTTGCTGTGACTAGGAACGCTGTTATTGTTGCTGCTTCCTGAAGCTCTTGTCGTTTTTCTTCAGTTAGCTGATTTCTTGTAAGCATTGCGTGGCATCTGGAAGTACCACTGAATCACCTTTGTGGTATTTTTTTATAACAGATTCTTTGAAAGATAAAACTGTGAAAGAGACTTATTTGACATCTCATAGTTGTTGTAGAGGAAAACTTAACTGCTTAGCTCAGCAGAAACCATTTATTTTTTGCATTTCCTCTTTTCTTCACGAGATTGACAGCCGGTTCCTGGGCAGCCCACACAACCACCCTCGTCCCAGAACCAGGGATCAGCTCCCGCTGCCATGGTTACAGTGCAGGATATCAACAGAATTGATTGATAAAATAATCCGGAGAGAAACCATCAACGAGCTCATGAGACTAAAATCCAAACAATAAGATGGTTCTCTCCTCTTTTTGGTGTTTCTTATTATAAGGGAAAAAAATAAGGAGGTATATCTACTGCTGTGAATCAGCAGGCTGACATAGTTCCCCAGTGAAAGATGCTTCTCTGTGTGCCAGTTTTTTTCAGCCTGGAGTGATTTCATTAACTGGAAACACAGTGATTTTCCCCGCTCTTTTTTGCTTTGTTTGATATGCAGATTTTTTCTCCCTTTCAGGATATGACAGGTGGAGTTTTGGAAGACAACCTGCGCTCTCTTAACCTGAAAGAAGGGTTAGACTACTATCATTTCAACTGAAGAAAGAAAAAGGAAGAAAGGGAGAGAGTAGGGCTTGGAAATCCAGAGAATACAGCACTATGGATTCCACAGTGCTTGGGGAGTGAGGAGAGTCTGGCTCTGCAAGAAAGACTCCTTTCTTGCAGAGAGCACCTGAGCTGAGTCCTGTCCCACCAGAGACAGACAGCAGCACACCAGAAACACTATATCCAGGCCACCTCCGTCCCTGCGAGCTGGACTCAAGACAAAATGAATGTGCTTGAAAATGAATAAGACTATAGTGCATTTTTTACGTTGCACGCAAACGTTACTCAAACAGATTACTAAATTACCCCCTCCACTCGCCTGCCCAGTCAAGCGATGTCATCTCTCCAATGCAGAACATTTGGATGGACGATTATGCTGATGTTCTGTTGTGCTCATTAAACAAAATAAAAAGCTTCAAAGTCTGATGTTCTGCATCTGTTAATTAGCTCATAGGTTCCAAGATGAGGATGAAACCAAGATCATGTGGTAGAGGCTACCCCTTTCTCCCCAGACTTGCTGTTTCTGGCTTCTAGCAGAGCTGTTTATTTTATGGGGATATGAAAGTGTAGAGTTAACAAAGGACCAAAAGACAAACAGCAGAGTCTTCCGGCTGGGGGGAGCAGAGCTACAGGTCTGAACAGAGTGCCTCCTTCATCATAACCGGCTGCACCTCCTGAGAGCCTGCAGGTGCCACACAGAGCAGCACTGACAGCCAGGCGTGATAGATGTTTGTTATTGAGACACTCGAGTTGTGTCATCGCAGTCAAACGGAACGAGCGCTCTGTGTTCAAAGGCCAGAAAGCGTGCCAAGAGCAAAACAAATGGTGTCACAGGCAAGGCGTACAGAGCAGTAATTTGAGCCAGAAAGAAACTGTTTCGCTGACTCCTGTTTCTCAGGTTTGGCGAGTTACTGCTCCTGAGCTGAAAAACAACCTTTTCCACTTTTTTGTAAAATTATTTTCAGGACAGACTACTGTGGAGGTTGTTATTAGCAAACATCTGGTGTTTTAGATGGGAAAGAAGGAAAAGGCATGGCTGGGTCTGAGCTGCGATTTCTCATCCCCACACTCCCAGCGTCGCCGTTCTCTGGCCCCGCCGAGTGCGAGGAAAGGCCTCTCGCTCCTCCCGTGCTCTTGAGAAACTAAACAGCAGCGTTCGTTAGCATTCTCTGCATTCATGTGAAGTGTAATGTAATGTGAAGTCAGACATTGCAGCCCATACTCTTCCTGGAGCTTGGTCATAGGGCCATTGTAGGGGCACGTATTCACATGTGCAGTATGCATCTGCTTTGTAAAACCCCAGACCAGACGGACCGAGCCAGCGCCTGCAGTTGAATGCAGTCAGACCAGGCATCCAGACTTGCGGATGTCTTGTGTTCCTTTGCTTTCTGAGCATCCCGATGTGTTTTCAGAAAAATCCAGAGAAGGCTGGACTGTGACACTGGCATGAATCTTCAAAGGGTGCCAGTCTTCTGCTGTTACACCCCCACCAATGCAGGCAGTCTGGAGCTGAGGCTTTCCCTGTGCCTCAGTTTACCCTGCTGCTCCACACAGCCTGGAGACAGACAGCCTGAGAAAACTATCACGTCGAGTTGTCACTTTGTCTCCAGTTAGCATTGGTTTGCCCCGTCTCTGTGTTTACATTCCTGTTACTTCCCTGCCAGCTCTGGCCAGCTCTCAGGAAAGGGCTCTGCTGTCACTCACATCACCGTGGAGACTGAGGGCAGTTCAGCGGGAAGTCTGGGGGAGGAGGGCGAACCAGGTGACCAGGCGGCTCACGGGGACTTTCACAGCTTTCTGCTTCACACCAGAATTTGTTCTTAATTAGTGGAAATTGATTTAAAAAGTGGTAAGATGTTTTTTTTTTACCTAAATTTGGGGTTTCAATTAGGATCTATTTTGAAAGACAATATTGAGCAAATTTTCCACTGGGACTATAGGAATGCTTTGAAGATGGTCATGTAAAAGTGCCCAAGCACAGCTCCCTGGCAGCAGTGAAGTCAGCAGCATTGGGTGATGTACAGCCAGGCAGTAGCTCCTGTGAATGACGTGTAGCCTGAGCTGTATTGCTCAGGGTTTAAGACAGGTACAAGCCAGCTCTGCATGTATTGCTTATTTGGTGCAAGAAAGGAAGAAAAGAAAGGGTGACTAATCTACTTGCCTGCGTCAGTGTATGAGCCCAGTGACAGCAGACTCTGCTCAAACCTTCCTCCAGACAGGATGTTTGAATAACGCCCAGGTGACACAGACAGGTTAAAGAAAGACATGTAGCTCTAGGGCGCTGGTCAGACCTCAGGGCTTCTTCTTACATTTATAAAGAGTGAGCAAAGTGGGGGATCAGTGACAAGCAGCAGCCCCTCAGCCTGAGAGATATTCTGGGGATCACATCAGAAACGACTTCCTTGCACCTGTGTCTTTCTTGGTGCAACATCGAACGTGTCACTAAACACCATTCCCAATACCGTTCCCCACCTGGATGTAAAATATCCTATTTTCCAGAATGAGGAGAGGAATCGGACACTTCTCAGAGCTGCCTGAAGAGTTTCAGGTCAGAAAAATAGATGACAAAACAATGGAGGCATTTTGGCTCCTCTTGCTCAATCCCTTGCGAGTAGCTTAATGATCCAAGGATCTTGTCCAGATGATTCTTGAAGGATCCCAAAGAAACGGCTTCAACCACATCCCTGGGTAGTTCATTCCCTCAATACTCTTTCTGACAAAACAAGTGTCTCTTGCTTTCAGCTCTAAGTGCTGTTCTTGTTCATTTCCACTTCACTTTCTAATTTTCATCTGCAAGAGGGAAATGCCCTTCGTTGCTCGATTATTGACCGATCAAGCTAGCGGGTTTTATTTGACAGCACTGTCCCAGGGTGAGCGGGAGCAGGGCTCAGCACAGTGCTTCATGGTGGTGCTTCATGGTGCCACCATGTGGGCTTTACTGTTAAACCCAGAAGAAAGGTTATAAATGAGAGGAGCTCTTTGGGCCATCAAGCTCTTTTGGTTACTAGTAGCCGATTGATCTGATCTCCGAGAATCTCACCTTTTCTGGGAGTAAGCCAAGGTATCAGCTTTGACAGCATGGCTGGAGTGCTTGTCACAGACTGCCGCAGCTTGTTCTGAGTTTTATATTCCATCACGTGCCAGTAGTGTCCACTTGTGTCTTCTGGTTGTGCTTCACTGTTGATCCTATTGAAGTCCACTGGACTGACTTTGTTTCTGCCTTTGAGGACTGTGAATACGTGTACCAGGTCCCCTCGAAGTATTTTCTGTTCAGGATGAGAAATGGTTCACTTCCTTTACGCTGTCAGCGTAACACTGTTATTTACGCCCAAGAAAGTATCTGCTCGCTCTTCCTCCTGGAGCCCACTGTACATGCAGAAGATGTGAATGATACATCACCCTCAACAACCTGTGTCTTTTTTATAGCTTCTACAAGGTCAATGTTTCCCAGTTTATATCTACAGTTCTCGCTACTTGCATGTAACAGTTTGTCTTTCATGCCATGAATCAGATGTTTGTCCAGTCCTGAATGTGGTCTAAGTCTTTATGGACTTTCTCTTCAGCTTCTGTAATGTTTTTAATTCTCCCTTTTCAGTATGTTTACCAGCTATACCAAATATTTCAGTTCAGTTTTGCACAGTAAATACATAAATATTTACTATATTTATTATAATATTATATTTTTTATGTTTTTATACTCACAGATATACCCGTGTAGTGCTTAACGTATAACTGTTCCGTTTTATTCCAATTACGATGAAAACGGAGTTCCTAAAGATACCAGCGACGGCGCTGTGTGCAATCGGCTCTCGAAGGTAGTGTAAACGTATTCTGAAATAAAATAAAAGTGTCCGAATAATATGGCCATTAAAATAGACAGGTTGGAGACAAACCTAGCGTGGAATTTGGGAATGATTAAAATACGAAAAATAAAGTCTACCTGTAAGATTTTTAGTAATTATTTTTTTTAATTAAACGTTTTATTAATAACTACAGGAAAACATGTTATGATAAAGCGCTAGTCTGTAGTTCTGTCTTGCTTAAAACCAGCGGGGCAACATTTGCTTTGCTAAATTTGTATTGAGCTGTGGTATCACTGACATTAAACACCAGAAATAAAGTCAGCCAGGCGTTTTTTTTTTTAATGTATTCAGTAACTAAAAATATCTCCAGGACTCCACTTCCTGCGAAAATGAGACTTTTCGGAGAAATGGAGCACAAATTACCGAAGAGCGCCAAGATAGGCTAGAAATGTAACGTGAACATTATGAAGAGCTCTGGACTCTGAAACTCGAGTCAAAAGGAAAAGCGGTTGATTTAGGACAAGTCTCGCCGCGGAGAGCGCAGGCGTGGCTCGGATTCAGCATCTCAGTGTCAGCTGGCCGGAGAGGCAGTGACGTGGAGTCGAACTCGAGTGAAAAGTTCCTGCGGCTCCGCTCCGCTCTCCACTGGCGCACGGCGAAGCTGCAGGGTCCTGCCCGGGCGAAGAGGGCTTCAGCGCAGATAGACACCCGCCTCCCGCCCTGTCACGATGTAAGGGAGAGGAAGCTTCTGTCCTCCGAGTTGTTCTGTCGGGATTTTGAGGAAAAGAGTCGGACCGAGAGAGCCGGAGCCGTGTGCGGGGACCAGCATGCGGGCTGCGGTGGCGAGGCTGCTGGCCGTGGCGCTGCTGTGCGGGACAGTCTGCGCGCAGTACTCCAGCGACCAGTGCAGCTGGAGGGGAAGGTGAGGGCTGCTTTCACATGTGCCTCGGGTTCACGGATGCCTTTTCATGCTCACTAGTGCAGCGTAGCTCGGGCACGGGACTCTTAAAGCATTCGTAGTTTCGCACTGCGGAGGATGCTACGTGTTTACATCACTGAGGGATTCAGTGCAGCTGAACAGAGTTTAGTGTGAAGTATAGTGTACGTGTGTGTATTTATAACTCCTGTACGGTATATGCACATATTTAAGATACGATTTGTATAGTACATCAGGTCATAGTGACTGTAGATGTTTTTGATCGTTCTTGAATGTTTTATAAAGGTATTCTTCAAACTGCAGAAATGACTAAATATTTTGTGCTGGGACCCATGTATGTGAATTTTGAGAGAGAGTTCTGTAGGCCATTTCTTTAGACATTCACTTTGAACTCTGCGCGGTACGTGAAGGCGATGTAGTGTCTGCTGGTTCGTGCGATCCTGCGGCTGTGCCGAGGGAGGGCCCCGGGAGCAGGTCGCTCTGCAGTGCGAGGTGCGAATCTTCTGGCCAGACGCGGGCTGCAGAGCTACCTGCTCACTCGACACACACCTGTGCCAGCGAACACACACCTGTGCGCCGCTCCCGTGCGCTCTGACTGCCAAACCAAACGTGTAAACCAAAGCAGGAATAATAAAACTGTCATATTTTCCTTTGCATGTGTATCTTACACATATGGTTGCTCTATTACACTTTTTTCAGGTATGTTTTAAAGGTGGTATCGGAGAGCACATTACTGTTCACGAGAACCCCACACAGTGACGTTTCGTGTATCAATGTTTCGTTTTAAAAGCCCGGATTTGTAATGCTGGTAATGAAGCAACACTCGAAATACGCCTTCGCGTCTACATGTGATTGTCTACTGTATTTAGATCCAATAATGTGACGATGAAATGTAACTCTGTTCTGAAGCAAACACTTGCAATTGAAGTCCCCAGACCTTACGGATGTGTATAGGGCACAGTGAGCCTTCGTTGTTCACGGCTGGTGTTTGTAGTCCGTTGCGGTCGCACATTTACCTGTTACCGCCGCTGTCCTGGACAGAAATACTGCTGCTTGAGAGTCGCTTCAGTGCTGCCAGCGGCTGTTCGAAAACTTACTCGGTTCCAGTCGCCGTTTTGAATACTGTATGCACGCATTAAAGTAGAAACCTCCAATTTAAATTACATTCAAATCCAGTTTCCCAGAAATTTGGACTGCAGTTTGGAATATAAAAAGGAGAGATTTCGCGGAATAAGGGAGGGGCTACCGCAGGAGCCGTAGCCAGGAAATGAAGTTTGCAGCCCGCTGCCCGAGCTGGGTTAGCGTAGGAACTGCGTCCTGTTGAGCTTGAGAAGAGTAAATCACACCGCGTTCAAATTAATTGTTTTTTTTTTGTTTAACCTGTGCCGCGTGTTACAGACTGACGAGTCCGTTTGAAAAGTGCTTTAGACCTCCCGTTAGGCGATTCTCTGTGAGACTCACATAGTTTATTTTTATTTAAAACATTGACGAATAACTTTGTGCATTTTATTCAGTACATTTTTGCACGTAGCCACGTGGACTATATTGTTAAATATTGATTTTATTTTGCACAACCGGACGATAAAGTGTTGAGAATCAATGAGCCGTAAACACTTGGCGCCGCAGACGCTGAAATCTGGGACTACGGAACGGGGAATGAATAGATCGTATTCACACATGCAAAAACCAGAAAATCTAGATATATTTTTGTTTAATAAATTGTTTACAGTTGCATGCTAATGAACCGCCCTTAAGGGTCTCGCCGAGCTTCTGAAGCAGAAATAACAGTACGGCGCTTTGAAACGGGACCAGTAATCTGGTGCCGATTAGTCTCCGCGGAGGTTTCGTAACGGCGCAGAGAATTGATTTAAAGACTTAATTAAAAGCGAGGCCGTGAGGGGTGAGGGAAAAACCAGGGTTCTGGTGGCAAGAGTGGACCCAAAGGGAGAGAGACTAGTTCCCCTCTTTCAGTCCCTGGATTTGTTAAAGGAGCGTAGAGTTTCGCCATCGAGTGAGCTACCAGCTGTTGAAAATAAAACTATCCTGTATCCATTTGTCTGCTGTGTTATTCCAAGGAAAAGGGCCAGGGAATGTTTAAATTGGGTGGGGTGTTGAAGCGCAGTGGTGATATCACTGATATCCTCTGTTGTTCTACAGCACGTCTGTAACTGGCTTTTCGTCGTTCTTCTGCCAGTAATTCGCTTTACCTTGGCTGCTGCTTCTCGATACCAGGAACCGTCTCCCGTTCAGAGACCATAAGAGGGTGGGTCAGTCCAGGGAAGACAGACACCGGGTCCCAGTGCCTTCATACTGGAAGTTACTGTTTCAGCTGCTGTGCTCCATATCTGTGCTTCTCGTATTATTTGGAACATCTGTTTCAAACTCCAAGATGAAGCAATGTGCCAATTACATTTGGTTAAAGCAGTGGAAAACTGCAGGTTTTCAGTTCTTGAAATGCTGTGACTCACTGAGGCCCATGAGCCTGTGATGAGTGTTGAAGCCAGGTGAGGGGAGGCTTGTGGTTAGGATCGAGCCACTGAGACCGGGAAGCCCTGACCAGTTGCCAGCAGGGTGACTGTGATTGAACCCTAGAAACAAGCTGTAATCCCAAAGATTGTTTTCGTAGTGGTTTCTCTATAGCATTCCTCCATTTTGGATTTTAATTCGGGATTAAAACTCACGTGTTCTGTGAAATATTTATAGATTTAGTCATCCAGTTATTCAGTTACATGCAGTTATTCATTTCCAACATGTTTACTGCATTCCCCATCTTCACAGATAGATGCTTTTGTTCCAGACCTGTTGCCTCCCATGACATTTAATCAGAAAGCTACCTCGAACTGCAACACCTCCCACATTACTGGGAAAAAGATGCAAAGTCTGTCTTCAGATTTCTCATTTAGTTCTGTTCCATAAGGTTGTGTGCACTAGCTTTCTTCCAGATAAATAGTAAGTATAGGTGCATTTTTCAAAGGCATGATTGCAGTTTGAGCAGGATGACTCATTCGTCATCATTACAGTGCTGACTGCCTAACTGTTTCTGAACCACAGGAGGAGTAGAGTCCCCTGTCTTCTCTGTGGTTGGATTGGGCTTCTGTGCTCATAGCTGTGCTGTTGTAAGCTGGCTACCAAACTTAAGAGCTCAGTGCTATTCCTAAAGTAGAGCTAGACACAGAGATGACTAGGAAACCAGCTGTGGAGGCAAAAGGAACAAACAGAAAAGAAGGGCTTATAGTTTGCTGTTAGGTCACAGGTATCACTCTTGTTATTCCGGACATCTGAGAAGCCCAAGCAGTCTGGATCTCTCTGTTCTTACAGCAGACCTCCTGAGATGAAACAGGATCATTGGGAATGGTATCAAGATTAATGTGACTCTTACAGCAGCCTGACGTTTGCGCATTTTAAGCAGCATTTGTAAGTGAGTTTACTGTAGTGCTTCAGAAGTGTTGCAACCATCCTGCAGCGGTGAATCCCGAGTTGTCTCATATAGCAACCTCCCTATGGACTGCAGTGCACAAACTCTCTGCACTAAATATTGACTTGTTTGCACGTTCTTTGAAAACCTGACATTATTTACAAGGAGCTCTAGCATGTTTAAACATACTCCCAGCAGTTGGATAAACCTTTTGACAGCCCGGAACAACACAAGTGATGTTTTTGTTCAAATCACTTCAGTCTTCAGTTGGGGCTCATGACTTGATTTAAAAAAATGTTTGATTTTTTTTTCCCCACAAGGCGGCTCTTTACATAGTCTTTAATACTGGAGGTAACCCTCCTTCCAGTTTAATGTTTTAAGTTTAATGAAACCACTTTAGTTTTTTTTTTACATGAAATATCAGTGAGTGAATAGAAGGAATGTGATTAATGATTCTTTTTTCAGGGCATGTTCTGATCTCTTTGGAATGACTCATTAGGAAATTAAATTAATGTTTTTGATGGGGTGTGGCATGATTAGGCATTGGGCACTTGATACACAGAGTTGGCAGAAAGAAGATGGATGACTGCACTTATCTGCCAGTGTAACTAGCTAGGTTAACAGAATTGCACTCATTACCTGCTGCTCTGATGCAGAATTGACTTGGTAACAACCTTCTGCATTGTGTGTTGTTTCTGAGAGAAAGTCCAGCAGCTCTTCAGGTGCAAGTGGTGCTAGCCGGCTGCTACCCGTGTCTCTCCTCTCTCTCTCTCAGCGGGCTGACGCACGAGACGCACGCGAGGGACGTTGAGCAGGTGTACCTTCGCTGCGCGCAGGGCACGCTGGAGTGGCTGTACCCCACGGGGGCGCTCATCGTCAACCTGCGCCCCAACACCCTCACCCCTGCTGCGCAGCACCTCACTGTCTGCATCAAGCCCATGAAGGACTCCAGGGGCGCCAACATCTACCTGGAGAAGCTGGGGGAGCTGAAGCTGTTGGTGAGGGAGCAGGAGCCCAGCCGGGTCTACTGCTTCGGCATAGAGGAGGGGTCCCTCTTCATCGAGGCCACGCCCCAGTCGGATATTAGCCGCAAAATCACCGCCTTCCAGTACGAGCTCCTGAGCCAGAGGAGCAGTGCAGACCTGCGCTCAATGGCTGGTAAGTGTTGCTTAAGCTCTACCAGTCCTGCTTTGCTGTTCTCTGAAAGACTAGTGCTTGTTAATGGTTGTACAGAGCTCAGCCTTATTCATACAACGGTGTGGACATTAGGGGTACTATGTATTTTTAGAGCCCCTGTCACAAACAGTGTCGGTGCCTTAGTCTTGTGCGTCGTGCTCTTGTCAGCGCAGGCATTGGAAGGGTACTACTCCACGTGACCCAGGCTGTCTGCTTTCATCCAGCAGCACTCTGGAGGTTTCCTGTGTGCTCTGATGCTCCAGGTCAGCTCTTGGGTGAAAGCTCCTGGCCGGACGCAGTGTTCAGAAAAGTGATTAATCAAGACTGTGAAAGATGGAACAGGATTAAAGAGCATGTCATTAAGTTAAGACAGCTTTTGCCTTTTTGTTCCAAGTAGATAAAGTGTTGTAGCTACTTGCGAGCAACATTTATACAAAGTGTGATTCTTTGCTGCTCATGAGTAAATCAAAATGACAGGTTTGCAGTGTCCTGTGTCAATTATGGAGAGTCCTCACTGCTACTGTCCTAAGAAATCAGAATCCCACATTTTAAGGAGCAATAGGGAGAGTGCCTGGCCAGTTCATGCAGGTTAAGGCTCTGAGTAATTCTGTTTATGCAACTTATGTAGTCTTACTGTCACCCATTGTTTCTGCCCTTGCACTGAAAAGCTCGAGGATGTCATTGGATTTTTTTTTTTTAGTAAATGATCATGAATGAAAATGGGAGATATTTACAACAGGTACAAATTGGCTCTGTCTCCCTGGAACATCTCTCATGCTTATAGCTGACAGCAACTCAGAGGAATTAGTTCCAAACCAATCTGAGCCTGTCTGTCTGGGCTTTTAAAATTAGACAGGATCTATACTTTACAGTATGTTACTCCTGGTTTAAAGAATGTGGTCTGTACAAATCAAGTTTTGCCACAGAGATTATAAATAACTGCCACAAAAATGTTGCACCACATATTGAATAAAATAAATATATTTTTCCTTCACCAGGAATTGATAGGGTTTCATTGAACTACAATTCTGCTGAGCCTGACTCTCTCTTTCTCTCTGAAATTTCATAGAGATCTGTTATTAGCCTGACTAGAAAAATAAGTGTTTTTTTTTCAGACTTGCCCCACAAACTATAATAGAAATCTTTGTCAAAAGGAGAGAACTGAGCTGGGCTAAGCCTCGGAGACCCCTCCAATCTAAATATTGCGCACAGTGTCATTCACATTATCTGTAAACCCAGAAAGCAGCTACATGTTAAGGAGTGAGCTGGTCAGCCATACTAGAACTGTCAGATGAGGCCCAGCTCTGACCGAGGGACAGGCTGCTGCTGCAGTGAGTGAGTGCTTACGGACCGCGGAGTCTGTCCGCACCGGCTCACTCCCACAGGTCCTGTTCAGGCTAAGAGTGTGTGGGCTGCTGGGCCAGCAGTCGCCCACTGCCAGAGAGACGTTTGTGTGTACTGCTGTGTAGCTGCAATCAGAACATTTGTTTGCATTTTACGGTTTGATGTGGTTATAATCTTACAAAGAAAAATCCTATGAATGTAATAATCCGAATGAAAAAAGTCTGTCCTTGTTTTGTAGGCTGTGGTTTTATTCCCGTCATGTGCAATACTTTGGACAAGCTGACAGGATCATTTTGCTCCTGGCACAGTTCTCTACCACGCTAGTGAAATTTTAATTCTTAGCACTATATCACTGTACAATATGCTTGGGGCAGATGTTAGGAAATTTCCTTCATCTCCTGATGGCAGCCAGCTCCTCTTAGAAGTGGTCTGGTGCTGCACAGAGCTGAGGGATGCGACAGAGCAGCGCTATTAATGTGGAAACGCTGAGCCACTGCATTCCTGTGGGAATGTTTCATGTTTGTCCTGCTGGTGATATATGTGGAAAAGAGAAACGGAGCTCTTTAAATAGAGATCCAGAATTATGACACCAGTGCAACATCAAAGAGTTTAGTTTCTGCTTAGAGCTAGCTCAGTGTTATTCAGACCTTAAAAAAGAATAATTGAGAATGATGGTGGCTGTCCCAGATGCTGAGCAGCTTTGCCCGTGACCTCTTGTGTCGTCCGTGCTGCCCTGTCTGCCCTGAGCCCGTGGCCTCCTCGCCCAGTGCTCTGAAAGCATGCGCCGTCCTGCTGCTGTTTCAGGGTTGTGCAAGAATGTTTCTACATGGCATGTGTCGGCGCTGCCCGTTTCAGTCGGTCCTCGGGAATTTCTGGAAGGAAAGCGAGCTGCTCCTGCGGAGGGGCCGAGAGCGTCATTGCAGGACGGTGCAGAGGCAGAAACGCGGAGGTGTTGCAGGTGTGGTTCAGCACAGCCATGCAGTGCCTTGTCTGTCTGTAGACTTGCTCTCCCTCGTGTCCTTGATCTGCAGGGCTATCGTGCTGCCCCCCCCTCCAGCCAGGGCAGTGTCAGGATTACAGCTGCAGCGGCGCAGGCTGGGGCCGCGAGCCTCCCAGGGGCTAATCCCACACGTGCTGATGTAGCCCTTTCCCCCTGCAGGCTGTCCACTCCAATCAGCTGCACCCGTTTCCCAGCCCCGCCACACAGCTGGGAACAGAGGCCGGCAGACTCTAGAGAGCAAGCTTTACTGAGGCTTTGACTTATCCTTTGAGTTTCGGTCCTCATTATTACTGTGTCACCTCCTCCCATTCCTGACAATAGGTTTATCTTGTAGAGCTGGTGACCTTGGTCTAGGGTTACAGTGATGCTGCAGGCAGTGCAATGTTTATGCCCTTTGTAGGTGTACAGCCCAAACCTGTGTAATAATGGGATGGGGGGGTAAGAGAAGCAGTGAAAAGCAGCCTTGTGTGAACAAAGCAGCTGTTAATTAGATTGTGCAGGTCAGCTATGTCTGCACAATGTGAAGGAGAAGCAGCACTGCAGTGGCAGTGCACTGATCCAGTGGAGGTGGGAGTCTGTACAGCAGGGCTAATCAGGTGTTGGAGCTCTCAGGCCATTGCAGTGCAGGCCTGTGGCACAGCAAGCTCTACATTCTCAATTGTGACCCATTGAAGCAAAGTTCTAGTTCTACCAAAAACCTGTAGTGGAGGCCTGGTATTGTACTGTGGACTAGTAGTCACTCAAGGAGTTTGGAACTGGGTGTCAGTATTTATCTGTTACAGTAGTTCAGGTGGGGAGCTGCGTCAGCATGCGCAGGCTGCAAAGGAACAAGTAATAGGTTTATTCTCTGCTGAAAAGAGAAGAAAGAAAACAGTGTTTTGGCTGTGGAACCTTCTACACAGATATGAAAGAAAACAGGTATATTTTTGGAATTTCCTGTAGTTCTGTCATTTTGAGTGTGTACAGTGATTTTACTCCTGGAGGACTTTCACTTTCACAGTACAGCCAGCTGACTGAGTTCAGTACAGCACATTTCAGGATTTCTGAGTCCTTGTGAAGAGCTGCTGACCACTTATAAAGACGTTTTGTTCCTAACTGGCTGCTAGCACTTTTTTTTTATAGCTACAGAGCGTGAAGGGTGATTCCTGGACTGTTAGGCCGGGGCCTGGCTGAGGAAAAAATTATTAATTAGAGCGTGGCAGCTTCCTGTCTCTGTGTGGGGCCAAGCATGTGGCTCTGACTCCTTCTCTTCGTCTTTCAAAAGAAAAAAAAACCTTTATCACTTGTCCGGAGAAGCTTGCCGCTGTGCCTTCATGCTTACTGCCTGCTGTACGGATGGAAGGGGAATAAGCCAGGCTGCTCTCTGGCTCTGTTTGGAACTTGGGGTTCCCCCTTGGCCTCCCCGGGCCTCATCCTGGGGGATCATTGAGCGGCAGCTTTGCTGGTTGGAAGAATATCAACAACCGGAGTCTTCACCACGAGAAACACAGTGTGGTGGTTGGCATCGCTGCCTCGCAGCTCCAGAGTAACGGGTTTGATTGCGGAGTCTGCATGTTCTCGAGGGTTCTTATTGGGTGCTTCAGTTTCTTGCCCCTCCCAGAGGCATGCTGGCAGCGTCCGACTGGCGATGGACCGGTGTCCAGAGGAAGAGCAGTCATGTGCTCTCGTCCTGCCTTGAACCCTGCTCTTCCCAAACGGGTTCTAGTGTGGCAACATGAAACATGCTGTCCTCTGGAAACTCACTTTGAGGAAAGGAGCAATTTCGGCCATTGAGCCTGTGAAGGACTTGATGTCCGAATCTTTTTTTCAACAATCTCCTCCATCTTTTTCAGCTCCCTGCCAGCCGTGCAGTGACTCTGAAGTGCTCCTGGCCGTTTGCACAAGTGATTTTGGTAAGTGTCCCGTGTTCTCGAACAGTGAAGGCATGTCTTAATGCACTATACTCATCCGCAGTGCCTGAGATGTTCCCTGTGGAAATACAGCCAGGTATTTTACCATGCTGTCAGAGTTGTAGTTTTGTGGGAAGATATTTTTGGGTCAGACTGGGTGAATTTGAGTATACATGTGTGTTTTCAAATTAAAAACTGGTTTCATTTTTGTTTTTGCTCGGTAGAATTTATGCTTGGCAGGACACACAATAATTACTGGAACGCGCTGGACATCTCTTTCCAAATAGCCTCATAAATGCTGGTATACCTACAAAGGTCAAATGAAAGAGCACTTTTGTCTGAGCTCCTGAGGAGCACTTTAACCCTTTGGCATTTGGCCTGCCTCAGACCCCTGGCCTCAGATAACGAGTTTCCCCCCTCCTCAGCAGGCCCACGCCTCTGCGCTGGGAGGGGAGGGGAGCTGCTGGTGAGCAGGAAATGTGCTATAGCAGCAGTAAACAGTCCCAGCAGCCAGGCCAATTAAATTTGGGGGAGGGGGGGCTCCACCTGGAGAGATTCTAATTAGTTTTTTCTTTTTTCATCTCAAGAAGAAGGGGCTCAGCAGCCTCTTCCATAGGCAAGGCAGGGGAAAGGCATAGGGTTTCCCCTCCCTGTCTGCTTAAGACATCTAACCATGGGCCTCAGCCAGTTCTGAATGAGGGCTCCTAAATAAAGACATCGTTCAGAGTCGTTACCAGTCCACAGCCGTTAGTTCATCTGGCACAAAAAGGAACGTTCTGCAGCAAAGGAGTTCACCAGTCTCTCCAAGCCAGTGCTGCTATTTCCCTTTTTTCCCCCCAAGGTTGATATCCGAAGTGGCTTGAGAAATGTGTGGTCTGTGCTCCTGTTTCTGTCTCTCAATGAACGGAGAGCCGCACAGCAGGGAGGTGTGCAGTGGCAGCCTCTTGAGAGCCACGTAAAAATGTGAATCCTCCTGCAGGTAGGAGTTGTAATCATCGGGCGACCCAGGACAGTGCTCTCTCACAAATGAGCTGCAGAGACTAACATGGGTCAGGGACCGGCTGGCTGAGCAGTGCTGTAGAGATCGAGGCTTCTGCTTTCCTCTGTCAGCCCGCTGCTAGAGCCGCTCTTCTCCGAGTAATACAGATCTGAGTTTACTGACATTCCTTATCCAGGTTCCCGCCACAGCCTTATTGAATCAGCTCAGAAAATCAAACCCCCTGCTTGTTTGCAAGAACCCATTCTGACCCCTGTACTCTGTGACTGTGTTACTGTTTCTGCTCTCTGTTCACTGGTGAGAAACATCATAAATGAATCCCTGAGCTCTGGAATTAGGCACTGAGCAGTTAAAATTGCTGCTCTCACACCAGTTCTAAGAATATTAAATTACTGATTTTTTTGGTAACGATCAACCTATTTCAAGCTGAGTATTTTTGTCTTCGGTTTCTTCAACGTGTTGTTGTCCAACAAGATTAAACATTTTGTTGTCCTTTATTTCTTACCCTTATTGTCTAGAAAATGAAAATGGTGTCAAAATAAACACCTAAATATTGTTGATGAGTAGCTTCTTCAAGCTCAATGGTTCCCATATTATATTCACTATAATCGCAACCTTTTGTATTTTGAAGATGAGTAAAAGAATATTGAACCCTGACTCCCAGGACTGGTCATGAAATATCACAGCACAGAGCCCCAAAAGACTTGGGTCTTTCAGAGTTTGCTTTCTCAGTTTGATCAACAGTGTGGAAAATAATGACAAGGAGCAAAGATCTCCAGGATTGGAGTTTACTGTCTGTAATTGAGGTTGAGTGATTGAATCATGGCAATATTTTTTTTCTACAAACTTGTATTGGCAATGCGAGCTAACGACCCGAACCACGAGCTGAGAGAAATGTGTGGCTGACTCGTCTCTCTTGCGCTCTCTCCCAGCGGCGCGGGGCACGATCCGCGGAGTGGAGCACGAGAAGGACCAGGACGCGTCTCTGATCGCGGTGTCGCTGAGCCGGCTGTACCAGCAGAAGAGCCGCGTGTTTGCGTCCGCGGGCGGCCGGGCGCGCCGCTGGGCGGGGCACGTGCGGACGCTTCTGGAATGCGGGGTGAAGCCCGGTGAGGGCGAGTTCCTCTTTACCGGTTCCATACGTTTCGGCGAGGCGTGGCTGGGCTGTGCACCGCGCTACAAGGACTTCCTGCGGTTGTACAGTGAGGCCAGACAGCTGGGGACGAACCCCTGCCAGGTCGACACGGACTGAGCCAAGCTGCTGCGCCCTAACCCCCAGAGCACTGTGGGCCCAGCTGAGCGACTGGGCCGGGGCTGGCGAACACAGCCGGCTATCCTGACTGACGGAGGTACGAGCTCTTGAATGTTGCCAAGCAACGTCGCTGGACTTAAACTGTTTCTTACAGCCATTTTCAAAGCCGGGATTTTCTGAGAAAAAGATCTCTGAAATGTAAGGCTGCCATTTCTTCAACGCAAAAAAACCCTAATGTTGGACTGTAATGTCTTAAAATTAAGCTGACGTAGCAGAAGCTGGTATATATCGTGTACATTGCTGTAAATGTGAAAGAACATTGTAAGAGAAGTTCCAAATGCTTTGTAAAAAGCTTAATGTACAGTTTGAAGTTGTTTCTTATGACAGAAATGTATTAAGCTAAACCTGCTTTTGTTTTTATGGTGTTTTTAAGAAATGTGCAATTTCAGCCTGTAATTTTTCTTCAGGCTGCTAAATTGTAAAGGCCTTCTCTTTCAGAGAATAAAGGCATCCTGAAGTGAACTATCCCCTCTGTTGCTGTCTGCCCAAATGTTTTGGAAGCCTCCATGACTTCTGTGGCTTCACTGTTAGTTATTGATGTTAAAAATAGTGACTGTACTTGAATGTATGAGTGACAGAACTTCTGCATGGTCTTAGCACAGCCATTGAGAGAGCAGTGTTTATAGTGCTGTGCTCTCGATTTTCCTAATTCAGAAATCTCCTCGCATGCACCCATTCAGGCTTTCTGACCATAAGCTTATCATTGAAGTGACCTTCCTGTTAAACACTCAGCTGGTCTGGAACTGGGAGCACAGGAACAGGGAGAATAACATATGAACACGATTGTCCTCAGGATGAAGACCAGCCCGATATGGATTACTTCTGTCTTGCTGTAGAAGTAGATGTACTGTGTACGTTTTAACAACACTATTACAACAACAGTGTGGATGCAAGGTACCGATCACCACAAAGAACAAGAAGAAAGGGGGACACAAGTTTGCAAAAATGCAAGAAGGAGCCGATTGCAGGCGACTTCCTTTCCCCGAGGTCTTGCTTCCTGGAGTCGGAGGGGAGAATGTCTGTTGTTTGTGCTGTTTCCTTAACCTGCAAACTGTGACCTCCTGCGGACAGGCTGCACGACGAGGCCAAGCCGTTGCCTCACCTCTCCTTTAAACACCCTGCTGAGGTCTGAGGGGCAGGTCTGTGAGGATTCACTCCAGCTCGAGCTGAAAATAAGCCGAAACTCTAATAGGAGACGTGCTGCCAGGCATCACCAGGCAGAGGGTCAATCTTGTGTGCGACTGTGGCATCTATGAAAACTTGAAAATGTTTTGAAAAAGAAAATCAAATTAATTTTAAACATTCCGGTAATTCTCCTGCCTTGGGCTGCGGCACACAGATGTGTTTTTCATGCTGAAGAAAGGCCTCTTTGTTCACACCGAGCAACTCTGGCAGGCACTGAAGGCGAGGGATTCATGCCGCAGAAAGTGGGCCACGAGCGGAGACCGCGCTGCAGCACGAGGCCGGGCTGCTCCTTGGGCAAGGCAAGGCGGCAGTGGTGCTTCCCTGGCCAGTGGAAATGTGTGAACTCCCGGTGGTGCAGCGGACAGAGCTCCTAGTAACAGAGAAGACATACTTCCTGGTAGTATTGCCCACAAAAGTTAACTGCTTTCTTGCTTTTTTCTTGATCTGGAGTGCTGTGGTCAGGCTCTCCTCTGCCAGACTTCTTGGGCAGTGCCTGCTCTTTCCGTATGCCTCTGAGCACCCTGCTCCTGGCAGCGCGACCCGCCTGCAGTTACCGGAGCGCCCGAGTGCCCGCTGCCTGCCTCTCCTCTAGCACAGCTGACGGCACAACGCCCAGCTCTGTCCATCGTCCTGCATGCTCACCGTGCTGTGGAAAGTTGGCCCTAACGAATTATAATTAGTCCTTGTGTTGCCGTGAAGTAATTGCAGGGTAGATCCTAACGGCAGGGACTGTGAACTTCCTTTTTAGATTATTTTTAATTTTTTGGCAGATATTTGACTTCTGTTGCTATGGTGATTGTGGCATCTTCCCATAGAATTTCAGGCTCCAAACGCCATGTGGTTCAGGCCAGGACCCGATCTTCTTGAGCCAACCAGCCTGAGCTGTAATGAGTCCTCTCTGGCGGTCAGGCAGGGCTGTGGACACTGCGACTCCACCTCCAGGCGGCACAATGAGAGTCCAGTCTGAGCCGAGTGCTGCTGGAGTCACATGTGGGTCTGGGTAACCGTATATAAGAGGGATATTTAGATGATGGAATTGCTTTCTAAACTGGAGCATATATTTCCAAAAGCCTCATGAAGAACAGGGTTTTCTTTGATTTTGAGTCAAAGTTAAGTTGGATATGGACAGCAGCTACACCACCCTGTAGCCTAAACTATTTTAGATCTCGGGATCTCAGCAATGCCAAGCCTGGTGAGTGGGATATGAGACCTCCAAGGGACACCAGATTGTTGCTGTTAGAGATGTTGGTGGACCAGTAGGTGGTGCTTTTCTCTCTGGAGAGGAGTTTCCAACCCATTGCCCCATTATGGGGAGTGGGGACACAGTTTTTAGGTGTTGAGATGTTACACAGAAGTCCTGACTAAAGAGCTCATGCTCATTGTTCAAGCAAAATTCTGTTCATCCTAAATTGCTGCCTTAAAGTCTTGCTTATCCAATTGAGCTGCTGTGCAGTGGAACAGCTGGAATAATAATAATAATAATAATTGCTTACACTTATATAGCGCTTTTCTGGACACTCCACTCAAAGCGCTTTACAGGTAATGGGGTCTCCCCTCCACCACCACCAATGTGCAGCATCCACCTGGATGAATGTATATGGCTAAAGTAGTTCAGGTGGGTAGCTGTGTCAGCATGCACAGGCTGCAAAGGAACAAGTAATAGGTTTATTCCATGCTCAAAAGAGAAGAAAGAAAACACAACGTTTCGGCATTGGAGCCTTCTTCAGGTGTAAGAAAGATAGGGCAGTCAGCACAGATAATACAGCCTGGGAAAACAAAAGCCAGGAGAGAGGAGGAGATGGGAGCAGGGGAGAGGCAGAGTGGCCAATCAAGTGATGCGAGGTCGAGAGGTCAGGAGAGGTGTGAAACCAAACCACAAATGAAAAGAATTAGAAGAAAACAAGTCTGTCGTTGAGTGAAGGGGGCGGTGTGAACTAAGTTTCAGGATAATATTTAGTTTCTGATATCTTTCTGTTGTGGGAGTTAAGAAACCCTACTTTGAGAACACAGATGGAGAGAACAGTGTGATCATGGCCGTCAGAGGTGAAATGAGAAACGATAGGCTAGGAGAAATCAAGAGATACAGTATATAAGGTTGCTGGAGGTACAAGTTGTCACCTGAGTGATCCATAATTATCCTGAGGGGCCTTGAATGAGTGTGTTGTTAGATATGTACTTGCAGGTGATACAGCGAGCTCTGTTGCAAGGGAAAGTGCCTGGTCTGGATGATTGCTGAGGGCGGTCGAGAGAGCTGTGAACAAGAAGGTTATGCAGACTAGGTTGTCGGTGATATGAGATGATAAGGACGTCAGAAAAGAGGGCCCCAATGGAGGGATCATCCTGTAGGATAGGAAAGTTAATGTTAAAGTTAATGGTTCTGGGGATAGAGTGTGTTAGAGTGTTAGGGAAGCACCAAAGGATGAAGTTGTTAGGTCGGGAGTTCCTGATCGAGTTGATGATCCGAAAGCTGTTTTTGGCTCGGGCAAGGGCCCTGTCAATAACACAGGTGGGGTATCCTCTGTTGATGAAAAAAGTGCATTTTGAGTGCTTGGTACTGGAAATCATTGTCATCACTGCAGAGTCGTCGTAGCTGAAGGAACTGTGAAAAGGGGAGAGTTTTAAGGGTGTTTGGGGTGAAATGAGCTGCTCAGAAAAGAACTGTGTGAATCTGTGGGTTTGTAATAAATGGAAGTGTAGAGTCGGGGGTAGTTGATGGAGAAGTGGATGTCTAGAAACGGAAGAGTAGCGGAAGATATGTTAACTGTATATTTGAGGGACGGTGGAAGTTGTTAAAGTGATGCAGAAAGTGCTCTAGCTGGCCATTAGAACATGTGGCGGCACCGACCCAGTCATCAATGCATCACCTGTAGAGATTCAGGACAAAGCCAGTGTAGGAAGCAAAGATATATAGCCATATATGGCTATATAATTACATTTTTATTGCTTCATCAAACATTCATAGCTGGACAATTTCAGAACGTTGCACAAAACAAACTACTGGTGCAGTCCTGGGGCTGATGAGGATCTGATCCTAATCTGACCTTTGAATGATTTCAAATAAAAACACAATTCTTCCTCTTGAAAAACATGTAATTTAACTGGCTTCTATACAGCAATATCTGGTTTTGAATAAGGAAAATAAGAAGTCTTATATTGCACTGGAAGCAGCAGTAAAGTTATTTGCCAGTAGCAATAAAAATGTAGAAGATCAGTGTTTTCTACAAGGTTGGCTTGTGGCCGCAGCTCCTTTCAGGCAGCACGATGTCTGAGCTGGGCTTCGCTGTGACATTTTAGCCTCTTTGGGAAGTGCTGGAATCCCAGGAATTTGTTGACTTTACACACCACTCATTAAGCCTCTCCCATCATTGCAGGAATCAATGAAATATTGTGTGGCTGCGCGTGGCACAGCACAGAGGGGCTCCTTTCAACACAAACACAGTTATTCTGGAGGAATTCTTGCAGCCCACGTGAGAGCTGCCCCTGTGCCGCAGCAGCTCAGCTCATGATCTGGGTCACACATTAACCCCCTCCGCCCTGCGGGCTGTGCGCCGGCTGCCCTTCGCAGGCGGTTCTTGACATTGCCCAGCCCCTGCACACATGGCCAGGGCTGAGCGGATGAGTTCTTGCAAAGCTCTGGCACGAGGTTCAGCACTCACGTTGGACCAGCCAGTGCATTTGAAAGGGAGCAGAGTGCATTCGTCCAGACAGCTTACAGAATGTCTGCTCTGTGCTGGTACTGTGGTTTAAATATCAGGTTCCTACCATGATGCACAAGTCCAGGCTGTACCTGATACTTCTGTTTTGGGTGCACATTGTTTCTTTTATTTTCAGCTCAGTGCTAGGGCTGCTTGTTTTAATGTATCAGGGAACTGAGATGGCAATGAGTATCGGATTCAAATCCACCTTTGAACACAAACCGCAGAGCAGAGTTTGAAGCCGGGGGAGAGTCTAGGGCAGCAGAGGCAGGACAGGGGGAAGCAGAGTCAAGGCTCTTCATAGCTCAGCTCTAGCTTGCCAGCACCTTGATTTACTACTGCTGGGTCTCTCTCTGGGGACCCGGCACAGGAGAGAGGCAGACAGGCAGACGGGCAGAGTGCTTTTTAATTGTCTAATAAAAGGGAGGGGGTCTTCCTGGGGAGGAGCAGGTCCTGACACAGCTGTGCTTGGGCTGCTCCCTCTCATCACCTCCTCCACTGCCCCATTTAATAGCCCAGTAAAACGCAGCAAAACTACAGCAGCAATTGCAGACCAGTTAATGTGTTTGGAAAACTGCGAGTCAGG